TTTTTTATTTTATAAATATCGATAAAAATGTATTTGTTGGGTAGAAAAGCTTGAAAATTTAATACAATGCACATTGGAACAATAACAATTGAAAAATATTAAAAATACATAAGCATGACTTTTTTTTTACAAGCATTCAAATTTTAATTTTGTCAACATACGTAAAAATCACGAAAATTTGCAAATCATTTTAAGGTAGAAATTCATAAAAATTTTTCTTCTTAAATCCAAGATTTGAAAATGTCTAATAATCTATAATATATCCTAGACAGATAAACCGTCTCCRCTCAGAATCGTTTTTCGTATAGGTACTATGATATAATATCATTGGATTCAAATTTAGTTCCATCCATTTCAGTAACCCACTTGTAACCAACTGTACAGCAAAGTGACATCCATGACTTACCCGATTTTTATTTTTGTACCTGATGATACTTTTCTAGCAGAAATAATGATAAATATTAGAAATTMAATTATAAAGAGGTTACTGGTAGCATATTTAATCTTGGTTGTACTTTTCCTATAAAATAATTAATAATTATTCAAATTTCAAGTCATATGCGGCGATCGCCCTCATCGACCCTCTCAGGGACGCACCTGTACTTAGGTCCATCGCTATTTCAACACTATCCGTATAACTATGGACACGTACCATAATTTACAGGTAACAGGAACTTGTATGACTCATATACCGTCCAGAGACAGAAAAACGATTTTGTCAAGGGCCATATTCCCTTTGCTGAAAACTGATTTTTTACATGCACCATTCATCGGTTATTTAGTATTTATTTTGGTTAGTTGTAGAGAAAGGTAATAAAATAAGCTAAYAACCTGAAAAATTTGAAGAAAAAAAATTGTTCCATAACTATAATACTATATAGAGTATAGACATTATATAATTCTGATTAATAAAGTTTTATYTAAACCAATTCATTAATAATTTAATTTCTAAAATGTTTCTTCATCAACTGGAGATTAGGTCGCTTTAAAACTCTAAACAAAATATGATAAAAATATTTAAATTATAAAATTTTAAAATACCATGAGGTTTATTATTGATAAAATAAGAATATTAAATGTATTTTGTGATACCTTTGAAGCCACACTATGCAAAAAATAAGCTGTATCTTTTCCCGTCTGTTTTACCATTTTGTAGAAAAATCCATCAGTGTTTTTCAACAAATTAYATGGATGGTCAAATTCAATTATTTTCCCAAAATCCATAACAAGTATTCTGTCAGAGTCCATAATAGTATTTAAACGATGAGCAATTGTTAGTACTGTGCAAAATCTAAATTTATTCCTAATCGTATTTTGAATCAACTTATCTGTCCTTTAAAAAATAATAAAATTTAAGTGATGGTTAAATATTTTTGAATTACAAATTAATTGTAGTTTTAAACACTTTTATTACATAGGATCGACATTGGCGGTGGCCTCATCCAATATCAGGATCTTATTTTGTTGTAYGATTGCTCTAGCCAAACAAATTAATTGTCTTTGACCAACACTGAAATTMGAACCACTCGCGGATATTTTTGAGTTAAGACCGTCAGGTAAGTCTTCAACAAAATTTTTGAGTTCTACCTATAATATAAAATTAATTATTATCGCCAAATCTTTAAATAATTTAAAAATTTATTTTTTAAGCTAAATTAATAAAAAAAATATACTCCTTCTAGAGCATCCCAAAGGGCATGATCCGGGTATTCATCAAATGGATCTAAGTTTGTTCGCATAGTACCAGAAAACAATACTGGTTCTTGTGGAATAATGGAAAACTTAGATCTTAATTCTTTGAGTTCCAATTCATGTATATCTATACCATCAATGATGATTTTACCTTCATTCAAAGCTAATCTAAATAATGCTCCGATAAAGGATGATTTACCTGCACCGGTTCTACCAACWATACCCACCTATAAAAGTGTAAAACAATCATCATTTACCATTTAAAATATTACATTTATCACCTACTTTTTCCATTGACTGAATTTGAATATTTATATCTTTTAATACATATGATGAATTTGGGCTGTAACGTAAATTAAAATGCTTGAATACGATTTTCCCCGAATCAGGCCATCCTGTTGGTCGCGCTTTTGCTTAAAAACAAAATAATATTTTAAATATTAAGCAATCGTTGGACAAAAAATAAATAATTTAAATAATTATTTTCAAATTTTACTAGCAGTAGCTCGGAGAGTATCTTCTAGTKGTAAATGTGTATATTTTAATATTCTTTCAACAGCTACCATTTGGTTTTCTAAAGCTGTTGATTGTTTTACKCCAAATTGGATCCTACCCAGTAAGGATGTCACTTGTGTAAGGGCTATACCAACAGTTCCACCAAATGCMTCTAAAATTATAATAAATCTCCTTAAATAACATAGTAATAATTTGCTTGGTTGTTTTTAGTTCTTATCTTACTGTTGCCGATTACTAAAAAGCTGGATATTACAATACCAGTATATATAATACAGATTATATCCAACCAAAACCCAAGTCCATGATTCAAACACGCATTCAAATAGGATGCAGAAGTATGTAAATCCTAAATGAATATAGCACAAATATTTTTTATATGAATTCCATAAAAATATATCCGAACCACTCAAAAAATTGTAATGTTAACATCGTTGTATAAAGATTTTAAGTTACCTACTTGATGTTTATCGAATTCTTTAGATAAAATATCCTCTACTTTAAATGCTCTTATTGTTGTTAAACCTTGTAATGATGCATTCATATGAGCTAATACAGGACTTCGTGCTGTGTGTAGTTATAAATAAATATTATTTTTAATTTAAAATAAAATAAATATATTTGGTATACATTGATTTATAATTTAAATACGTCACTTACTTTCTCCTTCTAACCTTTTAACATTTTGAGATGTTTTGAAATACAAATATCTTAATTTGTAAATAATAATTCCCACGAAAAATGTCGGTATCAAAAGATAAATATTAGTTATTGCAACAATAAATACATTTCCCATAATGAACAAAACAATCTATTAAAAAAAAAATTGATCAATAAATGCAAATAATTCTATGTTTAACGTAAATAAAAATAATTACTTGAATAGAATCCATGAAAATTATTGGTAATATTTTATCTACAGCACCCATGTCTCTAGAAAAGCGATTTAATACCTGTCCTGCATAAAACCATAAAACAAAAAAATATATTTTATAAAATATTATGTAAATCATATGGGTAATATCATACCTGAAGAATTTATATTGAAAAAAGTTAAGGTTGTTCTTATAATGGAATTGAACATTTGATTGTGTAAATTTATTGAAGCTTTTGTAGTCATTTTGACAAATATAGCAGACCTGATGATAATTGATACTATCAGAGAAACCATTAATACGACATAGATCATTATATAATGTTGTTGGAAATTCGACAACAACAATGTTTCACCATATGAATCTTGAGGCATTGATATATTATTACTGTAAGATGTATTTAATGATTTATGATATTCATATACTTCCTGGTTTACCCTGAAATTAGTATACACAATACACATAATACTTAAAATTATATTTCCACCAATTTATAGTTGATGTATAATCGTATAAATAGTACCAAATGCTAAGCCAAAAATCTCCACTTGTAGCAAGTACTTGAGTAAAAATGTACGTAAATATACAATACAAAATGTTAAGTGTACTACCACTCGACAAAATGTACGATATAAGCATAGTTTTGGAATTGTATTCATAAGAATGGAGTGCTAATATTTTGTTAGGTTTTGAGTCTTGTTCAACAGTAATTTGATTTTCATGTTTGGACGATATAATACTGTTGTTGGATCCATTGAGAGATGAAACCAAATATGTGTCACTGCTATTGCTATTTATACTGTTAGTTTCAATTTCATTTTCAATATTTCTTCCATCTGAAGATCTAAGTAATTTAGCAAAGTCAAAGTTGGAAGCTTTTAGATCTTGATAAGATCCTTCAGTTACTATACTTCCCTACAAATAAAAGTAGAAAACATAGATTTAAGGTTAATACACTATTATATTATCCAATAACGCAAAATATAAAGCACACTTATACTTACATTATCCATTAAAACAATATGATCAACACCAGATAAATATTGTACTTGATGCGTAATCAGAATACATGTTTTTGTGTTAAGGAAGTCTATTAATTTAATTCAACATAAKTTTATATTGTTTATAAGATTAAAAATTTGTATGTATACCTAAAATGCATTTTTCAAATAAATGCTTGCCAACTCTAACATCAACAGCTGAAAGTGGATCATCCAGTAAATAAATATCTGCTTGTTTATACACCGCTCTGAAACATGACATTTAGAATTATTAAACAGAAAATTATGGTTAATCGTCTAGTTTATATTTGCCTTGCTAAACTAATTCTAGCTTTTTGTCCCCCGCTTAAGGCYATTCCTCTTTCTCCCACTATTGTTTCATCTCCAAGTGGAAATTGTTCGAGATCGCTTTTAAGGGCACATATATCAATAATCTATTTAAAAACCATATCAGTTATTCATTAAGCTTTTATTAGGCATATAATGTTATCTGTATGTATTTACTTTTTTGAAACGTTCTTTGTCCATTTGTGATCCAAATAAAATATTTTGTTGAACGGTCCCAGCAAATAACCATGGTTCCTGAGGTGCATAAGACACTACACCTTGCACAGAAATTTTACCTTCGCATATGGGTAATTCTCTTAAAATTGCTTGTATTARTGAACTCTATATAGAATGTTATAATTGCTAATTATGATTTATGGTCTCACAAAACAGTTCAAAGAYTTTTAAATTCTATTTTGGTATTTTACATTTGACATATTATGAGTTAACATTGTAGAATAGTAACGTTTAAATCAACTTTTTTCTAAATTCTAAATTGATAAATATTTTGATTATGACAGTGAAAGAATCTTCAAAATATAGTATAGTATATTTAATAATTGTAGCTAATTTAAATAGTTTAATATTTTGTATCTCAACCTTTCCAGATCCCACTGATCCAATAACTGTAAGCAATCGTCCAGTTCTAATGGTTAAATTAATTTTTTCCAATGTGTTACTATTTTGACTGTCTGCCCATTTTGCAGTGGCATTTAAAATTACTATACTATTATCATAATCAAGTCCAGATTTATTTTCAAAATCCTCAGTGCAGTTTATTTTTTTATCATAAGAAATTAATGATTGAATAACATCATTTTCCACTGATGTGTCAGATTTTGTACAACATTTTTCAATTTGATATTTTTCCTCAAGTAATAAGAAGTTCTAAACAAAATTTTTTTTCAAATATTCATTAATTATGAAACATTATTCATTACTGATATTTTGAAATAATTAAATATAATTATTTTATAATAACCTCGATGCGTTTAATGGATACCATAATTTCACCAATTTTTAACAATTCATAAGAAAATAGTACTGCCATTGAAAAATGCAATATATTATATATTGATGTAAGAACATAAACCTATAAGAATATACTAAACATATGTTAGTTAAACATAAATCGATGATCAAATAGTATATTTATTTATTTATTTAAGCCTCAACAACTAAGGTTATAGGCTAACATAAACATAAATAAAGATACATTGATACATTATATAAGGTTGTAAAGCTTAGTTCTTTGTAGAAAAGTTATAATGTCAAATAGTATAGTACGTTGTTACGAAGATTGCACTAATAGTGTTGTTTTCGTCTTTCAAACGTTCACTATTCTAAATGTGTGTTCAACAGACCCAGTTTTCTGATGAATACTTTGATATAAGATTGATTTTATGTATAGAACTATGAACAAATATTTTGTATTTATCAAAGTCGGTTTTTTATGATTTTTTTTCTTACCTATTGATCAAATAAAACCTGGAAGCTACATGGCCATAAGTTACAATAAATTATGGTAGGTTTACAAGATTTAAGATTTTAACAATATTTTTTTTATTTTTTTTTAAGAGGTATTTGGCATAAGAGTATAGTTTCTTAGTATTTAGGTATATAAAAAGGAAAAAAAAACAAAAAAAGGAGGAAAACAATTGCAAATTATTAAATTAAGTTATAGATGCCTGTTGACTTCAAAAAAACTATCATTTTATTGTTCTCCACAGCATTGGGTCCTATGCGATGTCGAGGGTCGTATTATGATTTTTTGATTTCCATGCTAGTTATAAATAAGAAAATAATAACAATAAAACTATGTTTTAAATTAATCAGAAGATTAAATTTTGTTTGATTGATTTTCCAAATTTTATTTATAATCCTATTATATAAGAGTTTGAATATTACACGGTTTATTTAATTTTTGCATTAYTTTTRGTTCAATGCATAAATTAAGAGTGTGATTAACATAAAAAACTTTAATTTAAAATGTTATAATATRGCAAAAAATTTGAAAACCCGTGACTAGGCCACTTAAAAATTAAAATATTTAACAATTCCAACATGATAAGTTTCAAACATAAATTGGTATAATATTCGTACTCTCATATGTTTGATAATTGATTTTACTCCATCATTCATTTTAAGAAGCAAAAACATAGAATTGGTTTTGTTGAAGGTAAATTTGTTTTACGTTTGTAAGAAGACTCTTAAAGTCTTAACTGTATATTTACTTTGCGCACAGATATGAGGTTCCCAAATAAGACATACGACATGATACTGACAAATAATTGAAATCTGGTCTGAAATACTTTGAACGATAAAGAAATAAATCCAATAAATGCCGATCCTTTAATTTGTTTAACTTCTATTCTACAATTTAATATGTATTCAATGTATATTATTTAACATTATCATGCACGTACTWAATGTGAAAAATTATTCTATTGGATGACATACTTTCTCATATATTCTATAAGTTTAATAAAAGGTTTTTCCCACGTATACATTTTGATCACTTTTATTCCCAAAATGATTTCATTCATTAGACGTATTCTCTCATCGGTCTTCTTAACCGTCTTTAAATGAATTTTAGACGTTTTTTTTCCCATCCAACCTAAAATTCAACACGTCAGTTAGCAACTATTTTTTTTTTGTGGGGGGGGGGRGCTGAATATATTGTGATGAGCTGATAACGTGTTTACACAGAATTGGTTTAACATGGGTCTACCATAAGTTTTGTTTAATGATATCGAAGTTTTATTTTAAGTTTAAGTTTCTGTACAGGTTATACGACTTTATATTTTATCTTACAATAACTTTCATAGATAATAAAAATAAAACTAAAACATATGATTTTTTAATTAAATTTTTTTTTTTGGGGGGGGGAAGTACTTAGCACACCTCACTACCTCTCTTACTACAATATAGAAAATAAGTAATACAATATTTATTATGAATGTTGCTCTCAARTAAATGTATTTAGTTCACTGATTACAAATAATTTGTAGACCTTAAACTTTAATATAACTAACCTTGTAACGGAATAAAAAATAAAAGGGTAGCTATTCCAATTAATGATGACACTCCAATTTCTCGCCACAATAAATATGTAACCAATATGGTTTGCAGAGGTCCAATCCATAAATAATGTAATTTTAATGCTACGTCGAATTGATTTACGTCATTTGATATCAAATTTATCATTTGGCCAACAGTGTTTTCATCAAGAATTTTAGTATTTAGATATAATACCTAAGTAAAAACAATGATATAAATCTATTTTGATTTTTAACTCTCKATAGCATACTGAARTAGCTATAATGATTACCTTACCCTTTCGAGAGGTGAACTCCCTCTAACCAGTGAAAGACATAAACGCCAAAATGAGATAAGAAAAAAAAATTCATATTGTAAAAAAGCGCCAAAATCGTATATCGTACACAAGTGCCAAAATCCTAAGTACCCGTGTGTCACGTTGAATAGAAATTAAATAACAGATATTAAATTTTGAACTAACGGAATTATTAAATTTATATTTATTTGTATGAATATTATATTTTAACAATTTATTATTGAACATTTTTTTAACATAATATAATTTTTTWATTTTTTATAAGTCAGAAATATAAAATAACTAATYATATAAAATATTAATTTTGGCGTGAATGATATGTYAATTTTGTACCTTTGGCGYTTATGYCATACAGCCCCTCTAACATTGAAAAAAGATTAATTTTGACCCCAAAAATARGTATGGGTTCGTGTATTACATTTTTATTAGTACTGTTTATATAAAACATAACTTAAACATACATAATGTTATCTTAATAGAAATTTAAATATTACGGGCCTATAAGTTTAATTTWATTTTATTTTTAACTGAACTAATTGAATCAACTTTAGAAATTCAAACTCTTATAAAAAAAGCAATTTAAATTGCTTTAAGAACAATTTTTGAAGAACYTTTTATTAAATTGTCATGTTTATTAAATGAGTAACTATCATTTTATCAAAATAATCAAATTTAATAATTTATAAAAATATAATAAATCGAAAAATTTATCTCATGTCTATATATATTATATACAACATAAATTTCCTGCACACTTTTTTGTTTGTTTAAGATAAAAGAATGTGTACAAAATCTTTTATTAAGATTTGTAGTATTAGTTATAAAAAGTAGATYAGCATTTCGGTGGTGGATGTTTGTACATCGTCCCTTCGGTCCTCGGACAGGATAGTGTAATTTTACTGTATTCGATTTGAATGTAATGATTGCATTTCAAAAATGTTACTATATATTKAAAATTTCAAGTCCCTACGTTTGTTTGCTTTTAAGTTAGCATTTTTAAGTTTTATAAAAATTAATTTTATTTTCTGAAAATTGGTTTGCGTTAGAAAATGTTTTCTTGTTTTTCCTGACACTTTTRAAACCGATTGAGAATCTTAAATTTTGAGTTTTTGAGTGCACCATCAGGAACATTTTAGGTTTACCTTTCTGTAAATTAGAGAAGAGCAAGCAACTCGCATTTTCATCACTTGATTCGAGATTTCCTGGTCCGTTGAATATTGTATAATTGTTGTTATAAATAAGCTGATCAATAAACCAGATGCGCATAAATATGCATATCTTATATTAGAGTTTTTGAGATTGTCGTGATTGAAATATTCCAATAGTTCACCAAGTAATATAGGTTGAAATAYTCTGAAATAATGGTGTAAGTACTTTAAAATATAAAATAAAACAAAATGTTTTTGTATTTAAATTATTATTATATCAATAAAATATATACGATTAAATAATATGCCTAACCAACAATWAATACGGTCATATAAAACGGTAGTATACATAGTTACATTATTCGGCRARTATGAATTATGAATTTGAAACTTTAATGATCAAAAGCTATTTCAAACATATTTTAGGCTTAGTAACAACTATAATATTATGAATCAACAARTAACATAAAAATACAATATTATTTGTAATGATTAACATGGATTAACTCCTTCTGCAACGAATAAGTGAATTAATTTTGTTTTTTTGGGAGATTCCTAAGAGCATACCAGAATAAAATAGCACCATGGAACTTCTCTCCTTTCAATCGAACTAACCTGCCTATGAGCATGGTAGGTAGAAGCTTATATTAAAAATATMTTTGCATATAATTAAATGTATAATATACGTACAAATAATTTTTTTTTAATTATAACGAAATAATACTAATATCGTTATACTTCGTTTACCTAACTATTTAGTTTTATCCAAGTTTAAACGAATAAAATGTCTATTAAAAAAAAAWWA